TAACATTATAGTAATTTATGTTATTTACGGGATTGTTACCATGAACCTTATTTTTAGCGAGTTACCGATGTTTCGGCACTGTTGCAAGCGCGCGTTATTGGCTATTAATAGATGGATTAGTCAAAATACGTTAACATCATTAATGTTAATGTTTTTTTACTAATCTGTCTATCTATATAAATAAAAATGATCGCCGCAATGAGTGCACGCGCACAACTTTCAAACGATTGTAACGAATTGAATAATTATTATTTACTAGCAGTTCCCCGCGGTGTATTAGGGATATTTTATATTACCCGCAGTAAAACGTAGCTTATGTGTTAATCCAGGTGTCAGCTAACTCAATACCAAATTTTATTAAAATCGCTCCAGCCGTTTAGACGTGTAGAAGTAACAAACATACACATTCACACACTCACAAACTTTCGCCTTTGTAATATTAGTGTGATTATTTTAGGACAAGGTTTGTATATAAGAAAATTTGTAAATAATCGAATAGAAATATGGCGGTACGAAATTCGCCGGGTCTGCAATTGGTTTAAAAATTGAATTTTAAATTAAAAAGTAACACTAATGACCTGCGCGGACGAAGGACTTTAGTTCGCAGACTATATTGTCCGCCAAAATGGATTGCTTACAACTGCATCGAGTGACGCATACGAGGAATTAGAAGCGCCGCGTACGAAAAGTGCCCCAAATATCCGAGGACACCGAAAAAATGGACAGGAAAATAGTACACGGGAGTTAACGAAAAAAAATTAACTCATGTGACTAGGCGCAGCAACGCACACAGCGAACTGTAGTCCGCATTGCGCGCCCAATCCGATTTAAAGAGATGGGCTCAGTATTCCCCTTTAAAACGTCCTCTCTATTTCTTAAACTTCATGTTCATGACAAAATAACGTAATGTCTCAATTTTTTCTTCCATACCTTGCGCTTCTCTTAATATTCGCACATCGTGTGCATTGAGTCACAATTGCTTGGCGAACCTTTTTTCATGATTCAGGGAGTTTTGTCCTCCTCTGCGCCGGCCATAAGACGTAACACTGTATCGATAGCGTGATACAAATTCGATTTCCTATCAATCTTACAATCGGCCCGTGTTGACTCAGGCAAGGAGCAAGGCCCGCCGCGCCGCCTCGCACTCACAAGCCATTTCCTGTGACTCAATCAGGCTTCCGACTGCCTAACTCGGCAGCTACCTACTTACCTACCTACTTATGTTACCAAACGTTCCTATTTGGCGGGACATACCGCTTTTCAACCTTTTCGGTATTCTCTAAAAATGACAGTTTTAAGTTAACTTTTAAATCGCCTTATTCTAATAGGTGAATTAAAATTAGACTAGCCTCGTAGTCACAAGCTATTTCGATACCTACCTACTTACATAGTAGTGTTACCAAACGTATCGCTTTTCAACCTTTTCGGTACGCCCTAAAGTGTCGGTTTTTATTTTTTTAATATTGATAAGTTTGGGCATGCAATAGATAAGATTGATATCGAAATAACATTTTATTAGCTTAGGAATATACATGATTTTATTAAGTATACTTATTTAAGAACTATGCCTATGTCTCCTTGCTAAAACATAAGCATAAGCTTTAGATTTGTGTATGCTATCTTGTTGCAGTTTTTTTTACATTTATATAGATATCTAGTATAACACTGATTTGAAGGGAATGCCAATCAGTTTAGCTCATTCGTGGTTTGACGTGAGTTGTCAATTGTGGAAGATGGCGTAATAACATACTTTAATTGAAAAAAAGAATATGAATTTTTTTTTCATGATTGTTCCAAATTTTTCTTTTATGCAACCGTTGTCCTGTGTATAACGTACACAATAAAAAGTAGTAGTAGTATAAAAAGAATTATCCAATTTGGTTCAGTCGTTCAGAAGTGATGCGTATATATACCTTGTTAGGATTAATTTTTATATATTTAGATAAAGCTGCAAGATTTTCATATCTCCTCCAGACCAATATATAAAGTTGACCCAGCACGTCTTCACATGCAATCTCACCTAAGATTTCATTTATTCGATTTTTTAATATTTGCCAAATATTCATTACTGGTTCTTATAACAGTCATTAAGACTCATCTCTCAATGGTGTACTCTAACGGCCGGTGTTCCACAAGGTGGCGTGCTATCTCCTTTGCTCTTCGCTATTTTTATTAATTCTATTACTCACAATTTAACTTCTACCTGCCATCTGTATGCAGACGATCTCCAGATTTACACACAGGATCGACTGGAAAACCTAAATAATGCAATAAATAACCTTAATGCAGACTTAGCATTTATTACGGAATGGAGCAATGCATTTGGACTTAAAATCAATCCAATAAAAACTCAGTGCATAATTATTGGTAGTCCTTACTTTATATCTCGGATTGACTTTAAGCAGCTCCCATCAGTTACTTTAAATGAAATTGTTATCCCATTTGCTGAAACAGTTCGGAATTTGGGGGTCATATTCGATAACACTTTATCTTGGTGTCCTCAGGTTGCTGAGGTCAGTAGGCGAACTTTTGCTGCGGCTGGCTCTTTGCGACGTTTACGTAACTTCTTGCCTACTGCCACCAAAATTTCTCTTGCAACTTCTCTTCTTCTACCTATTCTTGATTATGCAGATGTTTGCTATCCCTATCTTACCTTTGATCTTCTAAGTAAACTTGAACGTCTGCAAAATTTTTCCATCAGATTTATTTACGGTTTACGTAAGTACGACCATGTTACATACTACAGGCAGAAATTGAAGTGGCTTCCCATTCGTCGTCGCCGTGATCTGCATATACTGTCCCTACTCTTCTCAGTACTGTTCAATCCAAAAGCTCCTGTCTATCTCAAAGAACGTTTTCAGTTTCTTTCTTCTTCTCATAATCTTCCGCTTCGTTCATCTGATAATCTCCTGCTTTTCACACCTCCTAACTTTTCCAAGGCGTATAGCCACTCCTTTACCATACGTGCCATCCAACTATGGAATTCTCTGCCGGAAAAGATTAGGCGTGCCCAAACTCTAGCCTGCTTCAAATCCCTAGTTAAGGAGCATTTCTTGTCAGATGAGCATAATTTTCATTAAAATATTGCTACGGTAGTAGTACTGTTGCATTATACTGCGATATGTGTGAATGTTTATATATATGCCTATGTTTGGTTAGCGTTTATTTTAATTAATTTCAATTGATTACTTACAAAACTTTTGTCTTGTTTTCCGCACAACCTCCCTCATTATTATTATCGTGCTTTCTACTTTTTCCAGCTCATTGGGTTGTCTGGAAGAAATCGCTGATTAGCGATAAGACCGCCCTTTGTGCAACTGTGATTGTTTTGCCTTGTATTTGTATTTTATTCGTGTTATTTATGTTACTGTTGTGCAATAAAGTATTATTATCTTATCTTATCTTATCTTAAGACATATTGCCGTATAGTGACGCAATGCATTTTTAAGTAATGTATTATTTTATTTCTTCTTGTATCAGATTATTCATCAAAAATTTAAACTGTTTTTTAAACTTTTAAGTCATCTGCATACAATAAACATTCGGAATGCTAAACTACATTGACAAGATCATTGGTAAATATCAAAAAGAAAATAGGTCCTAGATGAGAGCCTTGGGGGACGCAAGACAGTACATAAAAAAAACTACTAAATTAATCAAAAAATCCTACTCATTCACGTGATATGTTATCCATTCTATGTGAACGAAAGTAAATAGCTCTACATATAGTATTATAAATCGGCATTAACGTAGCATGTTATCCATCCTGTCTTACATAGCTTCCTTCCCCGCTTAGTATTCAAACTTGATCGGGTGACACACATCCTCTTGCGAATGCGACGACAATTCGTTCCAAGTAATATCTAAAAAAAATAAGAAATAATCGTTCCAGAACGATTTCAAGATACCTTTAGACTGATTATATCATATTATTTTTTCAGATATTAACTTAATTGGCTTTCCAACAGCACCTAAACTAAGTTAAGAGATAGTTAATGTTTAATTTTACTACAACTTAAAGTGGCCTTGCTTGTATAGATGATTGTCTCTATCAAATTATGACCTTATTTTGACTTTTGTCAAATGGTGCAACCCATTTTTTATCTAACCGGTACTTTAACTGAACAGTTAAAGTTAAAAGAAGTTGGTGTAACTCACATTAAGTAATGTAAATATTTTGTAAAAAGAAAACTTGCATTTAGTGTAGAACATTAAAAGATAACTTATGTCAATTTTTTCGTTTGAATTATTAAAAAACCAAAAGTGAAAGTATGTCATTACTTTTATTACGGATCACTTTTATATCATGCAATATTGTAGCAGTGATATAATGATTTGTTATAATCAATCACCATTCTCAAATAATTATCGATTCGGAGTGATCTTAATATTGAAGGCAGGAGTATTTTTTCAGTAACACGAGTATTTATTGCACCCTCTGAGTCATTAAAAATAGCTGGTATCTATCAGTCGGGACAAGACGGCTCTTGTGATAAGGTTGGGGATGATAAAGCAACGTCTGAAACAATAATTCAGGTAGTCATTTATATTTATACTAGCTGACCCAGCGAACTTCGTACCGCCCTAAAAAAATAGGGGTTGTCCAGCGGACAAAATTGTGAATCTAAACCATTCTCAGATCCCCTTGAACACACAAAAAATTTCATCAAAATCGGTCCAGTCGTTTAAGAGAAGTTCAGTGACATACACACTCACAGAAGAATTATATATATAAAGATTGCACCCTCTGAGTCATTAAAAATAGCTGGTATCTACCAGGCGGGACAAGACGGCTCTTGTGATAAGGCTGGGGATGATAAAGCAACGTCTGAAACAATAATTCAGGTAGTCATTTATATTCAAACAGTTGATACCGACGCACGTGCACTTCTTATCATTAAAACTAAACCCGTGAAAAAACAAGTGACTAATAAATAATAGGAACAACCATTTTTCTTGACCCCTTTCCCTTTGCGCTAACATCATGTGTGATTTTCTAGAATCGATAAAGTCTATATTGTGTGTGAATAATAAGAAAAAGCTTAGTTCCCCGAAAATGGTGATGGAGTCGGTGCAACCCAATAATGCTCGCTTTTGGCCGTTGTCACCGCGCCTCTGGCGACGGAGCAATGAGTACTCGAAAGTGGTGTTCGAACCTCGAAGGCCGCCACTATCGCCGATTGAGATTAGAAAGCATGACACGCCCGATTTGTTGCCGAGGAGTGCTTTGAGAGATAGGCTGGAACATTTGAATTTGGAAGATGATAAAAGATGGAACGTGGACTCGAAGAAGCCCCCGATTGTCGAAGTCAGGAGGACGGAAGAGGTTGTGAAATTACGCGCCAAGAAGCAGCGACAGCCGCGGCCGAACAGCCTGCAGCTGCTGTTGTGCCCTTCTAGTTCTGGACACTACAGCAGTAACACGTGGAGGTACACGAGAGTCAGATCAAAGAGGTTAGTAATGTTAGTATTCGCAGATATCTTATTTTAAATGATAATTCACTTGTTTAGAACGGTTTTAAGGAATTTACTATTTTTGGCACGTCAACACGTCCACGTCCACGTCAACACGTCAACGTCCATGTCAACACGGCCACGTCCATGTCCATGTCAACACGTCCACGTCAACACGTCAACGTCCATGTCAACACGACCACGTCCACGTCAACACGTCCACGTCAAAGTCTCGTAAGCAAAAATGTCTGTGTATTTGACAAGCAAAATTTTTCATAAGTTGGGTGTGCTCTCAAAGTCGAATAAAAGTTTGTCGACTTATTGCATAGATTGAGATAAGACAAGGCTGTTGTAACGGGCTCGATTCTGACTTAAGTAAATCTAATATATAAAATTCTCGTGTCGCGGTGTTTGTGGTTAAACTCCTCCGAAACGGCTTTCGCGATTCTCATGAAATTTTGTGTGCATATTGGGTAGGTCTGAGAATCGGACAACATCTATTTTTCATCCCCCTAAATGTTAAGGGTAATCCACCCCTAAATTTTTTTTTACAATTTTAGATATATTTTTTTATTTTTATTTTTTTATGATACAGCATTAGTAATGACATATAACCCTGAATTTTCAACCCTTTACAATCAACCCCTATTTTTTTATGGCGGTACGAAGTTCGCTGGGACAGCTAGTAATAGTTATAAATAGCATTTTTAAAAAGCATTTGTTTTTTCATTCCTTAATAATAATACAAGTCCTATTGAGTTTGGATTCAGAGCAACGCCAAGAGTGTCAACATAACTTAGCATGCTGCTTCTCAGGAAACGTAATAAGCAGACAGTTAAAATTTTCATAGATTAATATATTGAATAATGACTGTAATTCTTTAAAATAAAAGTAAAAGATACCGCGTTTTTTCGATTTTTGCAACCGATGTATTTAATCTTGTAAAATAGTAGAGTGCTCTTCAGCTGCCATCAACTCACGGATTTTTCTAATATTTATTTATATAGATGGACTGCAAGCGAAAAAAAAACGGAGATTTAATCACGGCAGTTTTCATTCCGACCTGTTATTATTGTAACGCAATCTCAAAGTGAATAAACTATCTAAGTCGTCATAAATTCATCACAGATGTGAGTAAAATAATGTTGTAACATGGACTGATCTCTCTGCCGTCGGTAATAGTATGTTATTAAATAATTTGATAAAACTTTATGATAATATTCGAGATATTGTGTATCGTGTGTATGTGTATTATAAAGTTATACTAATTTCTTTTCGTCACAAGGCAGTCACCCCACGTTGAAAGTGCAATGATACTTGTCAATGAATCATATCAGATAAAAAGGTATAGTTACAAATAAGTATTGTGTAGTATTGACCCAAATTCTTTACAAATAAAATTGCAATTTTCCGCTTGCATATTTTTTTATATACGACTTTAGGTGTATGCATTTTGCATTGGCAGAATGCCTTACGTTTGAATCTATACCAAAATTATAAAGCTGAAGAGTTTGTTTGTGAGAACTAATCTCAGGAACTAGGTACAGGTCCGATTTGAATAATTCTTTTCGTTTTGGATAGTACATTTATCGGGCAAATAAAATTTTTCAAAAACGGGAAAAGATATTCCTTTTGCGTGCGCTGCGTAAAAATTGTTTACATTTGAATTGCCTCTGCTTGCTTACACACATCACAATAATGGGTCATTCCCGCTCTTACACCCATAGATTTAGTATTTGAAGACTGATAGAGAGCGGAGAAGAGATATCTTGCCCTTACGACAATCTCAAAAGGTAGAAAGAGACGCAACATGATGTAACTTAGTTCCAATAAATTAAGAGCCAACAGCGTCCTTTCAAGCCTTTATTCCTTAAAGTTTATTATGGAATTCTGTGAAATTACCAAAACAATTGTGCTATAGTATCCTTAACACAATTTAGTTTGTGTTATAGTATCCTGTTTTTAAAGAATAATCATCTTGACATAACGACACTGGTGTAACCTTGTCATTTTCTAAACAGAATAAAAAGGAGAGACTGATGTTAAATTTAGTTTTAAGTTTAGAGAATCATGCCAGAATCGACATCATTATCAATCCAATCAAACACTTTTACGTACACATGCACAACTCAATTTTTTGAGATAGGTACCCTGTCTATCTTTACATCTAGATTGCCCCTGCGACAGGTATGTGACTAGCCGACTTTAGTATACCAGAAAAGGGCTTTTGTAATATGCAAATATTATGTATTTTTGTTTCACTTTTCACTGTTATACAATGTTGTGGCAATCGAGTGGGAGTTTTATTTTAATCTGCTTGTTGGATCGATTGTTATTGCCTTGTTTGAACAACATTTTCCATATGATGCGTCTTTAAAATGCAGTATAAATGTTGGTTGTAAAATTGACTCGGTCCACGTGGGTGTTGAAAAAAAATATACCTATCGTACAGCCAAAGAAACTTATTAGCTGCTTTTATTTTATGAATGCTCAGGAACTAAACATATAGATACTTACACGGCATTTACAGGATAAAAGTACAAACATGAATATGATAAAAGCTTTTAATAGCTGAGCTTCACTTATGCGTTCTGTCCTGGTTAAGCATCCCCTAACTAACCCGCAGCACTGGAACTTTAACCACAGACAGAAACACAAGTCAACAATAGGTATTGAAACCTAATTGCACCTGTGAAGTTAGCCCGAATCGCGGTGCAGTAAACGGGATGTAGAGTAGGGAGATGTAGGTGCGCGCGGAGACCGCGGGATGTCACTGAACTGAAAACCTTCGCATATTTCTCTGCTAACTTCACAACTTCCATTAAGTATGAATCGCACTATAGTGATCTTCACTGTTTTACAGGTGGGCCAAATTCGTGCAGAAAGTCTTTGCCCTATCTTTTAAAAAAAATCTCCATTTTCCTAATTCTTAATACAGAATCTAAGAGAGGTAGGGCATTGTGGATTTTCCGCTTGAATTAGAGCGCCCGTCTGGGATAATAACTTCAACCTTAGTGTCGCCGTACACGGGCCACACGCCACAGCCACAAACGCCGCCACGACAGGCTAGAAGCGGCTACTAAAGTGTCTGAAGCGCGCGACAGCGGCCGACTAAGGTAAGGGAGAGAGGGGTGGGGAATCGCGCGAGTGACGTGTGGCGGCGTTTTGTATCGGCGCATTAAGTGGTGTGGTACGGACCACAAGTAGCGAGCAACGACGATTTGTAGCGTGTGGCGGCCACCGGCGTACCGTGTGTGGCAAGTCCATATAAAATGTATGAAAACTACAAGAAATATGCCGGTGGCGGCGTTTTGTGGTTGTGGTCGGTGGCCCGTGCGGCGACACTTATAGAAGATTACTGTAAAATAACACTACCTTTTTGTGGTGTTGTATTTCTGTCGGTGAGTAAGGTGCTAATGCTAGGGCTCTACTGGGTAGAGGATTATTTTTTGTGTCATAAGCGAATCTAGACTATGGCGGCCGCTTACCATCAAGCGGGTCATTACCTTGTTTGCCACCCTTTTAACATAAAAAAAAGATTCGAGCTACTTCTAAACAAAAAGCCATAAAAGACCCATCGAATTTCAACATACCACATTAATAAATAATATCCCAATGTCTTGTTGTAAAATCACGAGTGCATGATTTTACTGTCGCCACGATGACAGATACTGCCGCGTGGGCGTCGAAGGTCTTGGATTCGACTCTTTTTTGGGTCAATGGTACTAATAAGCCGCGTATCGGACCTGTCAATATGTCAACATATCCGAACGATTATGGCGTTAATTATATGGGAAATAGCTAATTAGTGGGAATGGAAAAGTTGTCAAGAAACTTTTTAATAAAGTTCTAAGTATTAACGCCCGCACGGCGATTTCAAAGTCATTGTTGACATCAACGTAATTTTAAAAATTTTACTAATTATAAAAAGCGTTGTATTAATTTTACTATCAAAAGTCTTACTTTTATTAAATAAAACTAGTTTTTACGGGTTAATGCACGAAACTTTATTTATTTATTGACGTTTCGTAGCCTTAACAGGCTACGTCGCGTCGTCGGAATCAAATATTTATTTAATTTTGTCGAGCTACCTTCGAAAGACTTTTATTGAGCGTTCGGTTATTTCATTGTTCGATTTTAAAGTTTTATTGTCTATGTATGAATTTATTACTTAAATTAAGTAGTTAATAAAGTATTTTATTTTAAAATTCTATTTTGTAATTTTGAGTTTATTTATTTGACTCTAACTACCGTAAACTACCACCGGTTCCAAAATTGGGAGACCTTTCTGAGAAGAACCGGTAGTTTACAATGAAATACCCGAACGCTCAATAAGTCTTTCGAAGGTAGCTCGACAAAATTAAATAAAAATTTGATTCCGACGACGTAGCCTGTAAAGGCTGCGAAACGTCAATAAATAAATAAAGTTTCGTGCATTAACCCGTAAAAACTAGTTTTATTTAATGAGTGATGTGCGTGAAAGCCTACAAATATCTTACTTTTATTACTCGAAGATTCCCCATTTAATACCTATTAAGTAAAAACCTAAATAAAGGGTTAAATAAAATACGCCAAATCAGTCCAAAGATTTTTTTAAATATCACTTTGTTTTTCGGAAAAAATATTGACAAGTGAACGTTACTGCTCAATTTGGCCGCGCCCCGAAATTCCTTTAAGTTGAATGTGAATGGAAATACGTTAGCTGGCTGTTTGCCGTAATAATTAAACATTATGAAAAAAAAAACGTTTTTATGTAAATGATGACGAGACGATAGCAGAATACCAATTACAATAAATGTATGCTGCGCCATTAATAGATGCCAACGTCGATTGAACATTGGATATTTGCTACAATTATGACTAAAGTAATGATTTTTTAAATGTTATTTTATTAAATAAAGCATCAGCAGTAAATCAATTTAAACATAAATGCAGCTCAACAATATTAAAATAGGGTATTGTACTGTTATTGTTTCAATATTGATTTATTTAATAGTAAA